GAGAAGTATGTGTGTGTGTATACGACATGTGTATGCATGCGTATGTACATACATGTGTATATGTACACGTGTACAAGTGTGCGTACGCATATATCTACATATGCATGACATAACGAGTATAAAGGTATGCGGGGGAAAGCACATAACATTTCGTGCGTGCGTATGTGTGTATTGTAAAGCGGCGCGCCTTGGTAATTAACAAAAGAAAATTATAGAAGAAGAATACGACGGCGTATTTGCGTATAAGAATACTTGACTCTAACAATTTTGTTTTACATTGTCCCAATTAATAAACAGAATGTGCATGTGCCTGTGTCCTTTGCTTCTATACGATGCCCTTTCGAAATTTAACGCTTCTCACACCTTGTAGTGAAATTACCGCTTTGCATTTTGCTCTGGCTGCGATCCGACGATCATTGTACAAACTACTTTTGTCACTTTTTACACTTCTTTTTTTTCTTTTTCCCTTCTTTCTTCTGATCGCGAGTATATATGTACAATTTTTTTTTTTTTTTTTTTTTTTGTTAAAAAAAAAAAAAAAAAAATTAAAAAAAAAAAAAAAAAAAAAAGAATACGACGGCGTATTTGCGTATAAGAATACTTGACTCTAACAATTTTGTTTTACATTGTCCCAATTAATAAACAGAATGTGCATGTGCCTGTGTCCTTTGCTTCTATACGATGCCCTTTCGAAATTTAACGCTTCTCACACCTTGTAGTGAAATTACCGCTTTGCATTTTGCTCTGGCTGCGATCCGACGATCATTGTACAAACTACTTTTGTCACTTTTTACACTTCTTTTTTTTCTTTTTCCCTTCTTTCTTCTGATCGCGAGTATATATGTACAATTTTTTTTTTTTTTTTTTTTTTTTGATGAAAAGAAAAGAAAAAAGATCATGATCTCATAAGAGAAAAATTAACACGTGTTAATTTGCTGCAACCACGACGGTAACGTAATTGTTGGATCGTTATGCCATCTCGTAATACGTCATAGCGAAGGTGTTTTAAGACATAATTGGCATATCAATGTGAATACCGCTGGTTTTTTATTTTTCTGTTTTTCTTGAATTCAATTGAGCTCCTTCTTTGTCTTTTCCTTTGCCTAACACGCCCATCGATTGTACTCTTGCCTCGCTCTCGAATAACCAAATTTTTGCTCTTTATCGTTAAATACCGGTTGAACAATTTTTTAGGATAAACATATGTATTAAAACTAATTCCAGATCGTGTTCCATCTGTTTTACGTCGTATCGATACGTTTATTAGGAAGTGTTTACGCGCGTCACATTTCGTAGAATATCTTATTTCACATCGAGGGAAACAATAAAATAATGTAAATAAATAATACAGTGATATTACTTTACCGAAATAGGCAAAAATGTTTTGAACGTATTAAGATTATTTCAAACATTAAGCTTTAAGAAGAAAAAATCAGCTACCAATTATTTGCAGAAGATCGAGACAAAAAAATATTCTTTCTGATAACTTTGTTAAAAACTAACCGATAAGAATATCAACATACATACACAAATATACTCTACTTAGGATTAAAATTCAAACATTTCCGGAGAGTTTGGCAAGGTGCAATATTGCTGCGAATGACGGGGCAAAGGGCGTCTTAATAAAATTTCTTAATAATAAATTACATTTGAATCGGCATATTCGATATCAATTATCAGGTGACTTCGATGAATTTGACAAGGTTTCCTCTGCCTTTCAGGGGCCACCAGGATTAGACGGCATGAAGGTGAGCAATCCTCGGGGAGACCCGTTTAACCATACATTATATTTATGATTTTTGGATCCTCGATCACTACGCTCGCACTACGATTTCATCATTCAGGCATAGATTAAGCCAGTTGCAAACTTAACGGTATTGTTTCAACGTGTCCGTACAGATCATAGTATCCGTTATGGTTCTTCGTACTTACAGGGTGCACAAGGAGAACCAGGCACAAAGGGAGAAAGAGGGGATCCTGGCCTACCTGTAAGTATCGTTCTATTTCAATAATTTAAACCAATAACCAACCTCAACCCGTCGAAATAAAACTACTTCCTTAGAAATCTTAGAATTTTAGAATTTCAAATAGTATTTCTACTAATTTTTTAACAACATCAAAAATTGCTTTCGCTTGGAAAAACCATTCGATACTCAATACGAATCATACTGTGTCGATCTAACCATTTAACCGTACCGAACGATATTTCATCCTGCTGAAACTCGATTACACCGTCGTCGAGACACCAACGACACATTCTGTTTATCCCCAGGGTACCGATGGAATTCCTGGCGCGGAGGTACAGTGGCATTCGATTATCGCTCGCCCCTCGGTGTGACTGCGACACAGTCTAACCAGCCCGGGGTAACGACGATACATCTGCCTGATCTACCCCGGGGACTGCCCCAAAATTCGTCTCTTTACTTCTTTTGCACGAAAAAGGAGGGGGCTGAGATTAAGTTTTGCGCCTTTCTCCCTCTTTACACCGACGATAGTTTGCACGATTTCTTCATTATTGCAAATATTCCTTCTATTTTATATAGTACTTGCTTATTTACTCTCAAATATTTCGCTTTAAGATCGCAAATCGTTTCTTTTGGTTCGGTCGGTTAAAGCAATTTAGAGAAGCAGAATGTCAGAAAATAATGGATATAAAACGTAGAGTTAAGAGTGGGAAAATTGTTTGTCGAAGAGCCAAATAGTATATTTTTTGAAATAGTATATTTTTCGACAGTTCCAGCCTTGTTGAAGCATCGTTGCTAATGTTAAACTATCAAGTTTATTACGACTATAATTATCAATTTATTTTTCAGATCTAGAATGAAAGAAAAAGAAAATTATACGTAAGATCGTCAGAAATGTTCGAATACCTGAAGTTTTAGAATTCCTAGAAATACCTACGATTAAAGAATATCGAGAATCCACTCGAAAGTAACTGGTTGTAAAATTGAATCTCTCTGAATGTAAAATTGAAAGAGAGGGAGAAGCGCACAATCCTCTCTATTTTGATAATTAGATTCTCGAAGAGTGTACAAACCGAGAGCATAAACTAACCGAAAAATAAAACGGGCTAATATTGTAGCTTATATCGCTTGCTTCTTTCACTAGTTCACGCATTTGTGATCGTAGACACATGTTATGCCTTTGAAAGCAAGTTTCGCATAGAAATGTATAATATTGAAAAAGTTCTTTTCCACAATACGTATCGTGCATGTAGAAAAGAAACGAAGAGAGGCACGACCGTCACTTAACGAATAAATTCTTTGACGTACCAATTCCAGGGACCGAAGGGAGAGAAAGGTGCTAAAGGCGAATCTGTGAGTATTGATGAAATTCGACTATCAGTTTTAAATAAATGGGCAAGGAAATTCGTAGTTTGGCGAGCGAACAAAGCTCATAAACGTTTAACGATACAATGTCTGACGGACGAATAATTCCTCGTTCCAGATCTAAAAATTTTTTATTCGGAAATTCATTATTAATATTTCATTCATATTTACTGTATTGTCATTATCATCGTTATCAGCAATATCATTGTCATAAACGTGTACTACCATTTCATTACTAAGACTAATTAATTATCATTAGTAGTATTATTATATTTAATATTACTAAATCCAAATGTGTCGTCATTCGGAAGTTATGCCAAAGAAGTGCACCAATTTAACATTCACTGACTTGTTTTATCTGAAATGTATTTAGCATAAAGAATAATTAATCTCTAATTAGAAATTATATGAAATTCGAATACCGAATTTAGGGATGGTTTAACACAGTACAGTGTTTATGCATAACGCATGTAACAGAAACACATATTTGTATTTCTGCACTCTGGTATCTTCGTATTGTACTTTTCTACATGTCCTGTAACATGTCGCAACCCTTGAAAAAAGATCATCGAATTCGCGAGATAAATGTTCGTATAAAAACGTAATGTCACGTTCTTTTCTTCGGTGATACGTACGTACGTATATGTACATATACTACGTGCATATGCTGCCACCAGCGTATAGTGAAAGCGCGTATATAAACTCGCTGATAGTCAATAAATTTTTTTTTTTAGAAATCTAGTTGCAATTAAGGGTATGATGTTGAAATGAAAAATTAGTACATTCCAACGAAAAGAACAGTCGAAACGATCGAAAGTACGCGGTCTCGAGTTTAAGATAGAGAATATTCTCGATGCCTTTTTCATGGACGTTAATGCTCAATTGCGTATTCTGCACAATCAATCGAATATTTTACTATGCATAAAGAGATTCTTTTTGTGTGCCTGGCCTTTTTTGCACGTTCGCGAAAATATCTACCTGTTCGCCATTTAGACGTTGAAACATTTTTACGTATGAATACAGGGACCGCCAGGGAAACGCGGTAGGAAAGGCGACAAAGGCAACAAAGGAGATCAGGGTGTACCCGGACTAGATGCTCCATGTCCATTAGGAGCCGACGGACTTCCGTTAGCAGGATGCGGTTGGAGACCACCCCAGGTATCTCACATTTTCCCTATTCATTTCAATTAACTTTTGTCGGCTTGAACCAAGTCCGAAATAGACGACTTCCTGTTACGTTCTTTCTCACGTTTTCTCTCCCCCTTTGTCTTTATAATTGATCAGATATTCCCACAATACTCGAGACGTTTCGTCTTTAAAAGATATTGATTAATAATAAATTGGCATACTTCACCGTGGCAGAATATTTTTTATATATACAAATGTATTCTTATAAACATAATATTAATTAAATTTTCTATATACGTATGTAGCGATTTAGTCGATAAGGTCGTTCCTATTCTTTAAAAAAATCTTTGTATCGAGAAGAATAACGCGAAAAGAAGAAAGCTGTAACGAGTGAAATGGAAACGAACGGTCAGAAATGGAATTGTAAAGAATTAGAAGTAGGTAGAACGAACGCTTGGATTCTCGTATATGCTTAGCAGGACATCACTAGCACCTCGATACCAGCTGTCGAAGGTCCTGAAACTTCAGAGACGGATTACGAAGAACCAGAAGAGGACTACGAGGAGTATACGGATCCGAACGCAAATCTAGCCGAGCAATAATTGCTCGTTGTGCGCTGCCCTAATCACTACCAACAACTACCACAACTACTACCACTACCATCACCACTACAACCACCAAAACCACCACCGCCATCGCCCTCATCACTCGTCTCACCTTGCTCTCCCAAACTAACGTGGTCCTGGTAATTGCAAGTCCCGTAGTTATACTAACGTTGTATGCATGCATAATCAGCAAAACACCTGGCTCCTAAATAACAAAAATGATTTAGAAAAAAGTCTTATAACTCTGCTCCTCCTTACATTTTCGTACTTTTATTGTATTACTTACTTTATTGTATTACGTATTACCTGTATGTTGATTAAGTAGAAGTCCGTGGCAATAGTCTTGCTTAAAGTTTCATGTCAATGCTTACGGTTATTTTGCTTTCCTGTCCAAGAAAGATAGAGTAACAAATGATACGTATATAATATATGTAAAAAATACTAAGAGATAGAAGATATATTTACAGTCGTAAAAATTAATTTCCAATTCGACTTTCTTGCCACTTCTTTGTACTTGAAGCTTCAAGGTGACGATCAAGAAATTAATAACACTTTAACACGTTCAAAGACTTGCTTGTAGCTGCATTTTTTTTCTTTTTTCTTTTTTCTTTTTTCTTTTTTCTTTTTTCTAATTAGAACGAAGAACGCAAAATATGTAGATTAACGTCAAAAGCAACATTCCAGACTGCTTCTTTGTAAAATTATCCGCTTACATTCTCGTTTGCTTTGCTTATCGGCACGATAACTTAATTTGTAATCGTAATTGATGATTAATGAAATGCATAAACAATGAAAAATCGATTCGTTTCGAATAGATAGCGACCTGTACGTATAAGCATCGTACCTACTTTGTATATTTCAAAGCGATCATCTTCTTCATCTTTGAATGTATACAAATCTATCGTATTTGCTTTAAGCTTTACAAAATATTTCTACAAATATTTACAACAGATTCCCTTTCGCCTCGTTTTTTCAGAGAAGAAGGAATATTCTTCATGATTGGCTAGAAGAGGAAGCCGAAAAAGAAGAGGGGCAGTGATACAAGTATTTTAAAAGAAGATAGTACATATTTTCAAAGACCTCTGTGTATACTCCATCGTAAAAATACAATTCATCCAGTTTAACGCGAAGAAAATCGAGCTATGTATTTAAGAAAAAGAAATATATATATTTTTTTACATATATATATTTTTTTTTCTTTTTTGGCATATAAAATACATGTATGCCGAAATAATCTTCTTGCCATCGGGTGTTGTAAATAAGTGTACTTACAGTGTTTAGCGTCCGCAAATAGTGCGTGTACATAAATATTTAGAGCTTACTACCGAAAATGCGGTTAGAACGACATCATAATTTTATCGACAATTTGTTTATAATGTAAACGTAAACATCGGTAATTTATAAATTACTTTATTTCTAAGGAGAGTAAAATTAATGACCGAATTATCCAAATATCGTTTGCACAACGTAATATAGCGATAGCAAAGTTCTAAAACAATAAACAATTTTATTGGTCTATCAACATTATTGTCAACGTGTTTTCTTTGCTAAAATACGTTGCACTCTATGCGAAGAAATAATTTTTCTCTCTGCGTGTTTTTTATGTGGACATATCTCGTGGAAGCACAAGATGTAAAAAGTTGAAAACATTAATCATTTTGCTCTACCTTCTTTAGCTGAAGATGAATCGAACGTATATTCACGTAAATTTCAGTCAATGTTATTTTTCTGTTTATTTATTTGCTTGCTAAAATGCAACCAAATGCATTTAAGCATAATTATAATATTATGTATTTATATAGCTGCTATTAATTATTATCTTTATTATACATTACTATGTTTCTAAGATTTTTTTAAATTTAAATTATATTATTCTCGCCAGATCTAGTTTTCTCGCTTAATCAAAATTTGTATAATAAGTTCAACTACGAAACTTGGAATTTTATTTTTATCGAAAAACTAATGCCATATGATTATTTTAACGAGGAACGGTTGAAAATTTCTTTTCCCAGTATGTGTCATTTATGTGCACAATACATATATGCGTACCTATGCCATTTTATTGCCTTCGGTACGTCTAATAAAAAAAGTGCACATTTCTGCGCGATCGCAAGGGAAGATTTTTATACAAATATCAGTTAATAATGCATATCTCGACATAATTTTCATCTAGATTAGTAATAATATCAACTGTAAAGCAAAGGAGTAACGTGTACACATTGTCAATACTGTCAGGTATTGTTAAATAAAGAATAAGTATATATCTATCGTTTTCATATTGGCGTATAGTAAATCCCGAATTGGAAATAATTCCTATTTATTGTTATATATATAAAAAAATAAAGCAAAAAGAGATTCATAAGGACATAAGATCGACTTGTTATCTTTTTAATACAATATGAAACATATTATTAGATTTTTCTTGACATATTCCTAAGCAGAGTTCAATTCGTTTTATAGCATTGCAAATGACAATGTTTGAGGTACTAAAACTTGATACTGACTATTCCTTAAAATATATAGTACTATATTTAATACTATTTTATTTTATATTACTATTTAGTTTTATTACAATTGATGTACAATATAAAAGAGGATAATGTAGCTGTATAATGAAAATTGTATCCTTTTACAATTTAAGTAACTTATATTTCTTGAAATATGATTTTACTTTATCCTTTGGGTAAGGTTTTGTTGCCAAACACGTTGGAATATTATCAGGCTGTTCAATCCAGACCTTATGATCAATGTTCTCATTTGTCAATGTTAAACATAAATTGTTTAAACTGGTCTCATCTGGAATCTAACATTTATATACATATAAATATATCCATGTATGAGTATACTATAAATGTCACCATACTCCTTCGCTGTTTTAAAAACTGTATACACAATAGTTATGCACAATAATACATTCGAATTGACGTTTAATACCTATGATATATATAGTTCCTGGATATACTTACTTCCAAGACAACTTTGTGCATAGCATCTAAATTGGCAAGGTAGGCTTGTGTGTAATTGTCATTATAAAAAAGATGAGTAACAGCAGTACACGCATGGCATGCTTGAGCTATAACTGCGCCGATGGGCCACTTCATTGTCCCCAGAAGATCTCCTCGTACCACCACATATTGAACTAGCACACTCATCCTAGTAACGCAAAAGACGTTTAATTTAATTTAATTTTAAATTATAGAATATGCAAGGGCTATTGTAAGGCTGATCAAGCTAAATTATTAAACTTTAAACATTCGTTGATAAAACTCTTAATTTTCTATATATTAAATTTAATGTCATTTACAATCCTTACATAGTAAGTGCCAAAAATATATATAATTCATATAAATAAGAAAACAATAGGAAGTACTTTTGAAGTATTTATCTATTGACATTATGTCTGTTTAGTATTGTAATATTCAAAAGTAAGACACAAATATCATTGTAATATTCTTTTGGCATTGTAGTTTAAATCAGATGTATTATTTATATAAATTGTTGTTATTAAAGACAAATTAATCATACGTAAATACTGTGTATAATATGTTACAACATTCAAAACATAATTCATTTATATAGAATATAATAACTTTTGTATATTTGACAAATTTTTGTTGTCATTGATTCGTTAGAAATTGCTGCGATCTATCTGTAAGTAAAGGTTTAAAAAAACTCTATCATCTCTACTTTTTAAGTTGTAAAGTGAACATTTAAAGAATAAACATTTAATTATATCATGGTCATGTTAATTACATAGTTGGACATTCTCACCAATTTGATATTACTTATAGCTGTTTATACTCATTATTTTATACATGACAATAAAATGATTAAAGAAAAGAGTTTCTACTTAAAAAGAAGAATTTATATAATATTTAAAATAATGATTATTCATAATTACGAAAAGATTCATCATGTACTATTTTGAAAACTTAATAAAAATTTCTGTCAGAAAGTTTTGTGCATTACTTTGATTAAGCAACGAAATGCTGGCGGCCGAATTAATATTACTACTAATCTCATATATTAAAAGGTAAGGTCGAGCGCAGGTTATATGTACAGATAAAAGTTGTTCAAAATGTTGAGTTTTATGACATTTCAAGATCACTAAAATTAAAGACACCTTTAATCGACAACATTACCGGTTTAACTCTAGCAGGAGAATCGCAAATTTTCTAGTGTTTTTCCTGGATTGAGGTTAGATTTAGATTTAGTTTTGCGACACATCTCTTGTGATATTCTGCTTACTTAAATAACCTTTTATAACATATTAAAGTTCGAAAAAATCGAAGATACTGATCAAATTGCTCACTATCACACTTCTAACTAATATTTCATATATTACAGGCGTTAAAATATAACTAGCAATATATTTGAAACAATCACATAAAAATAAAACGTAATATGACAAATAATATGAAACTATACAAAATATTTGTTATAAATCTGAAACATTACAAGGAGATGAAGATATTAAAATAGATATAAATAAAAATAAAATTTGTTTAGTAATACTTGATTTATTTATAATTACAAAATCATACTTATACATAAGATCTACTCATATTAGCTTTGTATTTATAAATACAAAGAGACTAAAATGTTCTCTTTAATGTATTTTCTAAATATTGCATGTAAAATCTCTTCAACATGGTTATATATCATATGTTTAAAATAAATATATTTACAGTAAAGATAGCTTTTTTCTTTTGTTTAATCATTTCATTCTACTTCTAGGGATAAATTGTACTTGTAATAATTAAACCATTGATGAAATTTTCTAATATTTTAATTTCTTTATCTTATCTTGTTTTACATCACGCATACTTTTTTTTCAACCTAGATTTGCCTAACTTTTTATAACGTATTTGGTTCATGCGAGACATCAGCATGTACATAAAGGGTAAACAGAATATGAGTAAATATATCTTTAAAAACGATGGAAAATGAAATGCAAAATTCCAAGAATTTGGTAAAGAAACAGTAAACTTCTGCGTCTCTTCAAAATATGGGATATTTCTTAATATTATAATCCCTTCACAAAGGAAGCCTAATGGATATAAAGGCATCCATATTGTATATCTTAGCCATGTTAAAAATGAAATCTCGATTTTAAGTAATTGCATGAGATAATAAGGATATCTAAATACTTCTACTATACTCCATACAAGGAAAAGATAAAAGACAACTGGTTTCGTTTGCATACGTGGTTCAGCCTCAATCATAATAAATAAAATAAATGCTCTGCCTCCCACTTGTACAAATGTTACAAATGTACTACTCTTAGTGTAACCAAATAATGAATGCATAACTTCTAAAAATTGTATAAGTTGTATAAATTTCATTGCATTCCCAACAGCTACATAAGTTTCTTTCATAGATGCTACAATTAGAAATTTACTAATTAAAAAGATCAATTTAGGTATTATTATATTTAACTAATTTTAAATATATCATACAGTTACTAACCTGGTCCATCTCGCGAATACGTAATTCCCATTACAGTTAGAATATAGATAAAACCAACAAATTGACAAAGGTTATAGATAATTAGATACACTTTTTTGAAATCCTCTGCGCAATGAATAATTGTAAAATATTATTAATATTGAAATGTATTTCAATTATTATGTATATTAAAACATTTTTTAATAAAGTATACCTTTTCTATAGCCAAACTCTTCTTCATGAAGTTTATCGTACATGTCGGGATAATCACTGCATACATCTCGTCTTTCATCTTCGTTATCGTCTAAATCTTCGCTTGTCCATTTATCAAAATCGATTTTCAGCCATGATGGCTTTTGTGGTTGACTAGTTAATCTTGGCCACCAAGCAGGACACTTTTTACCCAATGTAAAATCAACTTGTCGAGCTGTTACTTTGTAATTACTTTCCTATAATAAACAATTTTACTTTTATTACTTGTACTTGTAATATAGAACATGTTATCTTCTTACTAAAAATTAAAGATATACAAATTTTAGAAATGATGATATGCCATAAAGCAAATGGTATTATAAATATTTCCATATTATTCTTATATTACATATTAAAAGATAATGCATTATTATACATGACGAATCAAATAAAATATAATATTGGATTCACACTGTCGTGATGTATGGATTTTACATGGATTCCGAACTTCATAGCATACTGATCCATGTAAAATATTATACATTATCATTATTCTATTATAAGTAGTTGGAAATCATTATAGATAGCTCTGTCACTTTTAGCCTTGCCATCCTAACCCCAAGTTACTCCATAAGATGAAGTAAAATATTATTGCTACAATTGTTACAAAAAAACAGGGATCTTTTCTAACAACTATACATTTCATATTATTTATTTTGTTATTAAGTTATAATGCGTAAAAAATCTTAGCTTAAGAAATTTAGTAAAACTTATTGAAGCATGCTAAAAATAATTTACCTATAAATAACAATGTATCTTACTTATCATTTAAGATTATAAAAAAAATGTGAATATAAAATGCAAGCTTACTCACATTTATCCATTAAAAGCACAAATAAGTGTCTATGTAATGAATCATAATTATAAAATTTATTTCAACAATATAAGTTACCTCAACATTAATAGATGAATGTAAATCCAAGCTAAATCCATATTCATTAAGACCTCTCGCGCCTTGTCCATAAACAGTAACCCTTAATTTGTTCTCATTCATGTAAACTTTAACATGCTACAAAATATAATTTGATATATATAAGCTGATAAACAATAAAGTTTATATATTAGAAATTACATACCCAAGTATCAGTCAAGTCTACCTTTAATGTAATTTGTTGCTCTGTTTGAGCCCAATATACAAATGGAGTTAAAATATCTGCCATTTTTTCATTTTATATTTCTATAAATGTTAATTTTATCCGGCTTATTGTTATAACAGATCGATATTGAAAGTACATATTTCGTTCTAAGTTAGTAAAAGATGTATCGTTTTATTTTTTAAATAATTTTCATTATTATATATATTGTATTTTAACATTGTAAATAAAAATTTATCAGTTATTCGATGTAAACACAAAATTTCGTACTCCAACGAACGCCACTGTCAACATTACAGCTAATAATGTCTGATTTATCATTTGACTTTGATTACACGAAAATGTAAGAACTGCACATATCAGCCATTAACAATTAAGTTCATAATATGATACCAACATATCTACTGTTGAATATGCTACGTAATTTAATAATTAAATAAAGTTACAAAACATGAATCTGATAAAAATCACTAAATTTAAAAATATTAGATCTTGAACCACGTGCTTATAACTCTAGTTTATTTTTATAGCTATTAGAAATTTTGTATTTATATATCATGTTGTTTATTTCATTAAAATAAAATATGAAGAAGGAAAAGGCAAGAGACATGTCTTGTATTTTAAAATCATTCATGTGAAGTATAATTAAAGTGTCAATACTTATTTACAGAAACGCTGATTGGTCAATGTTTATTGTGTTAGCAAGTAATAATTTAGAATTATGTCAGTGTAAGATATGCGAGGTATTCAATATAAGGCGATGATTATATAGAGGAATTGTATTACCTAAAAGACTAATGATTAGGCACTTTTATACATGGAGACTTGCGCGTACTTGCACTTATACAATATACATATAGGAAGTGTTGTGGGTTCATATATATGTATATAAATATAAATGTGTTACTGTCGAGTTGACAGTTTAATTAATTAAGTTGAATAAAAACATTGTTTTTTTTAAGTGCATATGCTAATTATCGATCACTTCAGATATCACCAGGCACTTTATTTTTTACTCAAATGTGTGTTTCATAATGATTTGAAAAAAAACATTTTCGATTGATCCAGCACTTAGCCATATTCGTATTTTAAGGTTAAAAGGTAATTCAATTACATTTTATGTTATCAGATTGTATTATATTATATCATGTTCGATATTTCATAAAAAGAAATATTGTATTTTGAAAACACATTTTGATAAAATATTCTGTACGTATTTCTTTGAGAAACATTAAAATATGAAATAAATTTCCAGCATTCAAATTATGTTTTCGTGGCTTAGTTTCACGTGCGATTTCTGTATAGTAGCATAAATTTTCGCAATTTCAGACAACATAATATGCAGTTTTAAGTGTTATTTAGATAAAACATCAATAATTAATCCCAATTAGTAATTAGAATCTTATACATGTAATACTAATCGTGTACAAAATGTATAAGATAAAAAATTGCAGGTTAAATTAACTCGCGAATACATATGTTAGATTAGTGAAATTAAATATTTGAAATATAAATAATAGTGAGAAATTCATAAAACCATTTTTAATGTTCAGGATAGATTAATAACTATTTTATTTTATATAGTTATTGAAAATCACACTGTTTTTTAATTACAATTAAAAGTAAATTATTAGAAAATATGTAATAATATTTCTGTTATAAATCATGTGAGTTTTAAAGTATTTGTCAGCACAGTAAGTAAATTTATACATATATATCTATTTATTTTAAATTTAACTTTAATGGAATATTTGTATATGTTATTTTGTATATTGCAGTATATTTCTGATTTATGACACACATTTAAAGAAATTAAAATCAACAATGAATTATAGTGAATATTTGTACCTGTATTACCATGCAGATTATATAAAAATTAAATATATTAGAAACAACCGTTTGTACTTAAATTGTTCACCAAAAACTTTACTTCCAAACAATTTTTATAATAATTTAAACAATAATTTTGTGTATTTAATAGTTTTATGTATATGCAAATCAATGTACATAAAGTTATATCTGTATTTATATTTAAAATGTTTCAATAAATACTGTTAAATAATGTTCAATTTTTTGAAAGAAAACAAGATCAGATTGTTTAATTGTCCACTTATAGTTTTATCTGTTAAAATTATATAATTTTGTTAATCTCTTATGTAAAATTTCTTTTTAAAGTTTTTATTATATAATATGATACAGATTGTAAAAGTAATTCATATCTTAATTCAATAAATTATATTTGTCATTGTTTTATTTGTATTATTTGGAAATTAATGTTTCTTATTGGTAATCAGTATTAATAGAAAATAATTATTAGAATATTTTTATTCCTTTATGATTATAACAGTAATTAGTTAATAATACAACTAATGCAGCTTGATGATGACATGATGGAAAATAGATTCAAAGATGAGCACTATTTCGAATGTAGCTGTTACCAGTATTATACAGAATTTTGAAGACACTATTTTCATACGGGTAGCAGAAACTCAATGAATTCTACTACAGTGAAGCCAGTTTTACGAATTAGCAGAAATCATTTAATGGCTCGTTAAAACACCATCTGCACATTTCAGGGAACAGCGCAAATATGGTATAGAATGTATCCATTCTACAAATAATTGTATGCTGTTTATTATTATACAAATATTAAAACATATTTAGTTACGTGTAATTATTGATTCATAAATCCATTAATCTAATACTAGTTACATTAACATTATGTGTCATAAATATTTTGAAAAATTAATGAGAATAAATAACTTAATGAAACTACAATAATAGTAAGAGTAAATAATTTAACACTAACCTACCAGAAATGAAACAGCATGAAAGTAGTGTTCAATTTTATAATATGATAAAGATATTACGTATAATGTCTTTATCAATAAAGTAAAGATTTTATATTAAACACTTTGTACATGGCTGCAAACTAATTTAATCTTGTTAATATGAAGTGTTTGGAATTATCATTTTTTTATATCATTTTTTAATGTCTTAATAATTTAACATTACATTTTTGCATTACATAAGTATTTTCCTATTTGTAATTTTAAAAAATCTTCATATATAATATATTCCTTTTTTATATTGCATGTAAAACTCATGGTGGCTAAATATTTTATTATTGATCATTTTGTATACTTAACTATAACATTAATATTGCTTCAATGAGTTTTTAATCATTTTATTAATATTCAATATCAATATCAGTATGAAGTAATATAATATTTTAGCATATATTATTAAAATTATTATATTACAGTAATCAATGCCATTAATTTAATTTTATAATATTCCATTCATATTTTTAAAATGAAGTATTGGGAATAAATTGTTGAACACAGTAAGAACAAATTTGTGATATTTTTTAATTTTTTGCTGCTTTAAATTGTGTAACATATATGACAATATGTGTGACATGACTATAATATTTTATTCATTTCTAATATATTACATATTTCGTAATGCTTTATTTATTAAATAATCATAAATTTATTGATGATCTGTTTTATTATCTTTGCAGAATAATCAGTTAGGAAGTATCATGTTGGAAAAAACCACTGCCATTCGACGTGTGAAGGATTCGGCACCTGTTAATGGTGCTCAACAAAATGTAGAAGAGAAAAAATCATCTGCACCATTTTCAGGAGATTTAAATAATTTGGACAATGAATTATATTTAGATTCTGAACATTTAACTTTGTGGCAGCATCCAATTACCACATTGAATTATTTTTTCCGAGAACTTTTTAATAATATATTTAGCTTAGGGGGAAAGGCATTGCATTACAAAAAGACAGTATGGAGCATAATATCAATAATTACATTATTTCTGATATTGAGTAGAATTTCTGGTCCACATCAACAGGTAAGTTCTATGATTAAAGTAGAGTAAATTATTATATAAAAATTTTGCATATTAGTCTTTCATCTTTGTTTTTCTTAATATTTAAAGTCATCAAATATTTGTACATTTTCAGATATTGAAAGCATGGGAGACAAAAATAATTTGGTGGTTATATTGGATAGGTTTAGGTGTCCTTTCCAGTGTAGGTCTTGGTACAGGTTTACACACTTTTGTACTGTATCTAGGACCACATATAGCAGCTGTCACAATGGCTGCATATGAATGTGGCGCTCTCAATTTTCCTGAACCACCATATCCTGATCAAATAATATGTCCAACAACAATTGATCCAATGTGGACAGCAGGAATATTAAATATCATGAGAAAAGTACGCATAGAAGCTATGCTTTGGGGTGCTGGTACTGCACTTGGTGAACTACCACCATATTTTATGGCTAGGGCAGCTCGAACTAGCAGACAAAATAATAGAAATGAAGAATTTGATCAAGAAGATTTAAAAGAATTAGAAGCTTTAGAAGCTTTAGAAAATGGAGAAAATGTTTCATTATTAATTCGATTAAAGCTAATTATGAAACATTTTGTGCAAAAAGCTGGATTCTGGGGAATTCTTGCTTGTGCTTCAGTAAGTTAAATTATTTTCTAAATATTAAAGATTAATTTTATTTATATAGAAATATTATTATATTAGAAAATTATATTATAATTATAATAATAATAATAATATTATTGTTATTGTTATTATTATTATTATTATTATTATTATTATTATTATTATTATATTGGAAAAGTTTTATTTTTATATATTTTTAGAAAATATTTTTATATAATCTTCGAATTTTATTAAAATTAAATTAAACATTTACAATATATTTTTTACACAAAAATCTTTTTTAGATCCCCAATCCATTGTTTGATCTTGCTGGCTTGACATGTGGTCATTACTTAATTCCATTTTGGACATTTTTTGGAGCTACACTTATAGGAAAGGCGATTATAAAAATGCATATTCAACAACTTGCAGTAATTATAGCTTTCAATGAAGAACTTTTAGATAAATTCATAAAACTGCTGGCAATTGTACCATTTATTGGTTCCAAATTTCAAGAGCCATTGAAAAAGTATCTTATTCAACAGAAAGAAAAATTGCATGATAAAACGTCGATGGTATGATCTTAATTTATTGTGAGCAATGTATTTACACATTTCTAAATATTTATTTTGTTTTCAGGATGGAGCAACAACAATTTCATGGTTATTTGATAAATTTGTAATGTTGATGATATGTTACTTTTTAGTAACAATTATTCATGCGTTAGCAAGGAATTATCATCGTAAACGAACTAAAGAATGTACTGATTAAAAGTTATTGAATATAGGATATACAATGTAAACATAAAATCAATTAAAAAACTACGTACAGATAAAGTTGCTATTAAAGTGCAGTATAATTAAGGTACTAAAAATAATAATAATAATATTGTGGCCGAATTTTTAAGTGCACAATTTCTCTTTTGCAATATGAATAAATCGTGAAGGATGAAGTATATAAATTTAATTTTTTTAATTCTAATTTTCTAGGATGCTTGTAAATGTGAAAAATGTTTCGTAATATATATGTATATATGTATATATATTACAAAACATTTTTGACACACACACACATATATCTATATTACACATGTATGTGTGTATGTATTTAACGATATACATACACATATGTATATCTTAGGGGGGATTTTTATACATTATGTAGTATAAATTATGGGCATATTATGTATGATACATATTATGAGCATTTTACTTTCACTATTACAGTCATAATTTCTAATATCAGAACTCTTCCTAGGATTTATGATGTTAATAATATTATACTCAATAATGTAAATGATTTAGGATTCTAATCAGTTCCAATGTAGTATAAAACTGTTTGAGATATGCATTATTCCTATAAACATTTAAATATAATTATTTTAAATATTCTTAGTTGACAAATACATTCTCTTATTAGCATCTTTCAGTACTATCTATCATAATTGAGTAGATAAGTAGTATAAATTATGTTCAAGTACCAAAAAAAGAGCTTTCAATTATTAGTTTTTTATACTAAAGTTACAAAAAGCTAATCTTATGATTAGCTTTCCAACCATAAAGTCAGAAATATATACATATAGTTAATAATACATATGATTGCAGAACAGATCTAAAAAGTTCATATCCATCGGTGGTTTGTGAATAAATAGTAGTGATTTTTCGTGATTTCATAGAAATTACTCAGTTTTTTCGATAGATCCGATATTGATTTATATTCTAACTATATATTGTCACTCATTTTTTATGACATTTTCACTTTTCATTGTAATGCATTTATATTTATGGAATGAATGTAATATTACTTGTAATTTAAAAATATTTTGAGAATAAGAAACATATAAATGAAAGATACAATGTTTTTAGTCTTAGAAGAGTTAAAATTGCTGTTGAAGAAAATTTTTTATTTACATTGAATTTTTTCTATTTGGAAAGTATTGATAAAATAAATTGTTTTCATATCCTACATATCTCATTAATATATTTTTATTATATTTTAATAAAACTTAAATAAAACTGAATGATTTCAAAATATTTTGTGATATTTTCGGAGAGATAAGTACAAATTGTATTTTTAACTAGTTGGTATTTTTTCATTCATGTGATAAACTAAAAATTTAATGTTATGAGAACCATACCTTTATAAATAATGAGTGTAGAGTTATACATTTTTATTCTGAATATATATATGTATATGAATAACAGTTTGTAATTTATATTATTACTGTAAGAAGATTATTCAAGGTATTTTTTAGGGGAAAATTAGGGGAGAATATTATAAATACGAAAACATATTAAAAATGATTAAAACATGTTTGTAAATAATAAACGTATAGAAACTAATAAAAAGAACAGGTAATAATATGCAAAATTTTCGTTAGTAATGAGATGCTTAATGTGTAAAATTTATATGAAGACATGGAAAATTATAATATTTTAAGTCATTGTTCATTAACATCAAATATAATTGATATTCATATGATTTTATAACGTGATTTATTTACATAAATATTTCGTTTCTTATTGATTTAAATGAAGTAACGTGACCAATATATAGAAAGGAAAAAACGCAGTTATTAAATTCATTTATATGGTAAGTATATGCTAAGGAAAAGTAGCATCAGTAGTGTCTCATTATTACTACTTCTTTTGCAATAAAATTAACAATATATAGGATATATATATATATATATATATATATATATACACACACATATATAGCGAGCATTTTATTGATAAAATAGCTCACACATAATAGACATCTTCTATTATTACTACTAATTATTACTACATTTCACTAAATTTTACAATTTATTTAGCGATACAAATGATCTGCATAAATATTACTAGCAATTTCTGATTCCCACCTGTCTCCGTTATTCAGCAATTTTTCTTTATTGTACAATAACTCTTCATGTGTTTCTGTTGAAAATTCAAAGTTTGGACCCTAAAAATAATTCATATGGTAAATATAAATCGTATGTAATAGGTATTACCGTATATCTACATAGAATTGTTTACATTTTATGATAGATTGACACTTAGAAATTAATATATTACTCTTATTACGTCTATTTATTCTCTTTGCATTAGATTTGGATTACATTAAATTGATACTGAAATTTAAATTACACTAAGTAAGGCTGGCTTATTTGAATTTAGACAAAATAGCTCTATTTGAATTTAAACAAGCACTACTATATATACTTATGTATTAATCGTTACCTCCACGATTGCATCCACTGGACAAGCTTCTTGACAGAATCCACAATATATACATTTTGTCATGTCTATGTCATATCTTGTTGTACGGCGGGATCCATCTGCTCTTTCCTCTGCTTCAATAGTGATCGCTTGTGCTGGACAAATTGCTTCACATAATTTGCATGCAATACATCTTTCTTCACCTGAAGGATATCTATTAGAATAAATTTATTATGTTTTCTTCAGTACAAATTTTATGTACTCTTGATATAAAAAGCTTTATACCAATACCTTCTTAATGCATGTTCACCTCTGAATCTTGGACTTAAGGGACCCTTTTCAAAAGGATAGTTTATTGTTACAGGTTCACTAAAGAAGTTAGAAAGTGTAATTCCAATACCACGCACGATTTCTAGAAGCATTGTTCTGTTTGTTGCATTATCAACAAACTTTGCGCTCTCCGGGGAAACAAAATAATATTTAGTTCGTACAGGTACATTTAAGATTTTCGTTGAAGTTTGAAATAATTTTAAACCTGTAAAAAGCATACTTTCATAAAATCAAATATGTAATTAAGACAAAATAATAATTTTATAGGTTATATGATATTTGTATATTACATTTGATAGAAAAAGAATCAATTAAATCGTATTAGGAAACAGAAAATAGTTTTGTTAAATTTACCTGGTTGTATAGTTTTCAGGAATGTCATGTTGAAATTTCAATAATTGCTTTCACTTCGTGCAATCGATCTTTTCACGGTATACTATATATATATATATATATGATATATACTATACAGATGCAATCTGGTTCTAGCTATGCGCGGACTAAGAATAATTTTCTTCGCATTGAAAATTGAACTTCATGTATTCGTATAAAACTATAGTACACATATCCACATATGTATGTATATACTATAGTTATATACTATGTTATATAGTCGTATAAATATAATATATAATATTATATTTATGTATGTATATACTATAGTTATATAGTCGTATAAATATAATAAGTAACTTTATAATAGACAATGGGTATAACTATACCTATTTACATCAGCTTATATAAGTCTAATATACAAACTTTTCCCACATATCAGCGGCATCTAGGTTACGTAATAATGTTCACCAAAATCTGGTCTATTAATTTTCAGTATTAAAAACAATTAATTAAAATATTTCTATTGTTCCTTAAAGGAAAAAGTGAACAATACATTTCATTTATTGATAAATTTATGTAGAATTTATAGGCTTGCCTTAATTGCCAAATATATTGTGTTTCATTTTAGAATTTAAATAGAAACAAAGGAAAAAGTCATATCGTTATATTACATTTATTAATTGTTTTCTAAATTTTCTTGCTGTCATAACATATAATTACCGCTGCGGTTTAACCTGTAATGTTGAATATGGATTATAACACTGATTATGGTTTCTTATAATGCTACACACAGTAATTTAACAACAAATTTGTTTTATCTTAGTCGGAACAGTTCTTTTAAATAAAATGTGTAATACATATTTATTATATGTATTAAAAACCATAGATAAAGTATTATTTAAGTATCATATAATAGTATAATATCATCTTAATTTATTCGTAGTGATAAAAAATGTCATAAAAAAAGTTTAAAAAGTAGTCAAAATGGCCGAATTGGTAACGAATTTAAAAGTAGTGCAAGATAAAATTATTGCTGCTTCTGCTAGAAGGCTACCCGTATGTTATAAATATTATATAAATTTATATAATGATAATTATTTTGGAATTATGTAAATAGATTAAATAAAAATATAAACATAAAACACTAGAGATATGTTTTAATAGTAATAATTTGTATATTTAACCTCCTTTTCACAGGAATACAAGTATTTTGAGCCACGTTTAGTAGCTGTGAGTAAATTGAAATCAGTTGAATTAATTGTGGATGCGTATAAAGCTGGTCAAAGACATTTTGGAGAAAATTATGTCAATGAATTAGTTGAAAAAGGAAATCACTCAAGTATTTTAGAAACATGTACAGATATACGTTGGCATTTTATTGGCCATCTTCAACGTAATAAAATAAACAAATTATTAACTACTCCAAATTTGTATATTATTGAAACAATAGATAATGAAAAACTTGCATCAGCATTAAATACGTCTTGGTCTAAAATTAGAGTACATGAAAATTTGAAATTAAAAATAATGGTACAGGTGAATACTAGCAACGAACAAGGTATTACGTATTGTAATTCTAGTAATTGGTTACGATTATTGTGTATATTTCTATATGAAAATATTATGAACAAAAATATTGCATGTTTTATTATATTCAATCTTCCTAACATAATATTTATACGACCTTAAAAATATGAAATTCATGCAAAATTTTTGTTTCATCTTCAAATAAGTAAGTTCAAATAAATTTAAGCTATGTCTTGGCTTCTAGTTATTAGGATTATTCTGATTTTATAATTTAGTAAGTTAAATATATTATAAATTTACATTTTCAGAAAAGAGTGGTTGTGAAATCACAGATGTTTGTACTCTTGTTCAGCATATTATCGATAACTGTACAAGTTTAGAATTTGTAGGTCTTATGACAATAGGCACGTTTGGACATGATCTCGCTAAAGGACCAAATCCTGATTTTTTGTGTCTGAAAGAATGTAGAGAAAAAGTTTCAAAAGAATTGGGTATTGATTTAAATAAGATAGAGTTATCAATGGGAATGTCAAATGATTATGAACATGCGGTAATTTTATTAGAAATTGTTATACTTTCTTAAAAATGTCAGACACGTATTAAAATATGACATTATCTTTATGCAGGTAGAGTTGGGAAGTACTAATATTAGAGTTGGTACCGCTATATTTGGGGAAAGAGCAAAAAAGGATACCTAATGAAATACATATTTTTTATATAATATTTGTATAAATATATTGTATAATATCGTTATAAATATAATTTATGATGTGTAGGTTGGTCGGTCTCAACAGTAATATACTACTGTCGTAGGAAACATTTTGGAAAAATTTAGTTTAGGAAAAATTTTAATAAAGTTAGATAAAATACTTCTCATATATGTATCGATAGATAGATAAAATATGTATAAAGAGTTGGTCGATATCGTAAAGTCCTTAAATGATTATTTCTCTCCTTAAATGGATAAATACAGAGTGATCATAAAGTCTCAATGTATTTCTAAGGAAGGCTTACTTTATTACTTTCTACTTTCTACAATTTTACTAAATTTAACAAATAACATGCCAATATATCAGTAGTGGCATAGATTACTACTTTTTTGCATTATCGGCCAATTTTTTCATTATTTCTAATCCTTCACCATTGGCTTTACGATAACCTGGCGCGGATGATTTTATTCTCTCCATCCATTTAGCAACATTCACGTATTTCTCCACCTCGAAACCGAAAACCTACGATCAGTAACCATCATTTAAATCTCCAAATAATGTTCCCTTTTTCTCATGATGTATGTGTATACCTCCGATGTTGATACAGTGGCTGCCAATGCGAGATCGGCGATGGTCAAATTGCGTCCAGCGACGTAATCTTGCCCATTTAGAAATTTATTGAGGACATCAAACGCGCCTTCGAGTACCTTGTAATATTCTGGATTGTAATTTGCCCCTCTAAACACAACTGGATACTGTAACAAGTTCGTTCGGTTTCAGGATATAATCATTTATTTTATATTCTCACCTTACTTCTCCTATTTCAAAAAGAAAGAAAACACAAGAAAGATATAAAAGTGGTTTAATTTTGAATAACTTACATAATAATTTTTCATGCCCCGATACAACGTACCAATATCAAAATGTAATCGATGATTGACCAATGCTCGACCAGCCGGTGTTTGCGGATTTAGACGAATGTTTTTACCATATTGATCAACTAAATATGACATGATGGCTCGACTGCAATCGTTTATTGAAAGAGATTAAAGGATGATAAGCAACGAAAATGATACACATTGCGTATTAATTAATTACAAACCTTTCAGATAGTTTGTAATCGCCGTCTACAAGAAACGGGACAGTTTTCTGTGGATTCAGCTATAATAGGAATATAATCGCCATATGTTATTTTACGCATTACTGTAAAATTTCATTTTAACACATACTGTGTAGGTATCGAATAAAACGAATAGCGAAATATCGAAGAACGAAATAAAACAGAATAAACGCAGTCCTCTAATTAATTACTTTCAGTTAACTGTTGCGAATGCTGTATAATCGAGGAAGCGTATAATGTTTCGTTGACCGTACATTATTAATTTGATAGGTCCGTGTAATATAGTGTATTGATAATAATAATATTTCAATTGACATTATTACGTAAATGACTCTTGATATTTATTTAAGATTTTTAACCTTTTGCGGTTTTATGTTGACCACATTCGACATGCTATCACAATCGACTGCCAATTGAATGTATAAAATGTATTTCTTTATGTTATGGATTAACTTCATGGAAATATACCAATATAGATATGTTATTTGCTCCGAAAATATGAAAATTTATCTAAATTATGAACAGTACATTTCCGAGGATGAACTAGAAGAGATGAAATGTTACAATAATATGCAATATAGTAAACTTCGTAAAGAATAGATAACACAAGACATATTTAAGCACGCTGACCTGTTCAAATTCTGGCTTTAGATGCTCGCCTTCAAATAAATTGATTTCTATTAAATTTAAAGTAATACCAATGGCCTCGGCAGTCAAGAGAACCGCTCTGCAAGGTGAACTCATTGGCGTGTAATACAGATCCACTGACATGATTGCTTGTTAACTAAAAGAATATATTTCAACATCAATTACCATGTAATTAAAATTCACGATGGTAGCACGCAGTATGACTGAAAGTATAATATAATTCCTCGCAAAGGATAGATAGAAATCATTAACAATAATTAACTGGTTGAACATTTTAAACACACGTGTAGCTTGTGACTTGCCGCTCAATGCAATTAAACATTTGCCGCGTATCACATGCTAGTGAAGTATCGTTTCAACGTTATCGAAAAAATATTTCGTTGCAACTTTAAAACTTTCGAGACCGTCAGTGAAAAGTATTGAAATATTCCATTACACGCCCCTTTTTTTCAGCGGCGCCGGTTTCGTTCACAACGATTTTCGATAGAATCAATATCGCTAACTAAATCAATATACACACATACGAAAGTTACAGAACTATCCTGTGTACCTTACTTCGCATTTAATACGTCCTATGGCACATTCTTTTCGTCATTGTTGAACAATGCCAAGAGTTATTGTGAGATTTTCCAATGTTTGCACCATGAATATTCGGTTTTAGTTGAAGTGCAATAAAGATCGAGAATTTGCATCGAAAAAAGGTATAAAAGAGAAACAAAACAGAAAAGAGCGATAAAAAATTGGAAAGAGGAAAGAATTCGTTTGCTCTTACGACGAATGGAACGAGCGATGGCGAGATTGCCGAACTGAAATTCGATGGGAACCGTTTCCAAAGCGCAACACGCGCGGAAGCGCGCGGCAAGTAAGGGTTTCATCTCTTGGCCGATTCAAGCGTATTGCCACAGTTTTGTTTTCAATCGATGTAATCGATAGACAACTATTTTTCATACGACCAACCTATATATACGTGATCTGGAACTACATGTGTAGTAAAGTACTGCTACGTGCGTGCGCCATTAACAAGCAATCGATACACGCGAAACAGTTCAAGCGTACGTACAAACAACGTAAAGAAGGCGATTCATTGAACTATCTAAAAATGAGAATTGGGCATATGTATACGATAAATTCAAAACCATACTTCTTACTTGTCGAGAGTTTCTTAATTTAGAAATAAATCTAACAAATAAACAAATTTTAATTTATCAATAAATCTTGGTGCCCTTTATAATCGGTATACGAAGCAGTGAACACGATCACGAACATGCAAAGAAATAATTGCTACCTTTTCGTAATAGTAATAATTTTACAACTGGCGTGTGGTATCAAATTCCTTTTTAATAATTATTATCACTGTCTCGAGAGATATTAGTGCGATCGTTCCTTGTGAACGTTAGGAAAGGTATGAATATGCTTTATCTTATTCGTACAGGTGAATTGATTGCGAGTAGAGCTTGTGCGCTGACTCATTCGATGTACATATACATATAATAATATATGTATGTACATGTATGTAATGGCTGTAGAAAGTATCTACACACTAAAAGTATTCGTTAAAGAGACAAAAGTGTATAGAATATGTTTAATTATATAAAATATCGGAAATACGGAAAGTAAAGTACTCGTTATAATCTTTAATAAGCAAAACGAGTCTCTATTTAAGTTCTATTTCTTTACTTGTGTTCGTAAAAATATAAATTTGTATAAAAATCCCTGGTTCAGTTATAATCAATGCGGATTCAACGACCGCGTAATACATACTTAAATAAATTGTTTTAACTTAGAAGCAATCACAAATGATCACACTTTTATGTAAATATCATTTCCTTCTAAAACTATTGAAAGTATTTATTCTTGTTTAATGATATTTTTATTTTATTCATTAGGGGATGTTTTACGATAGGACTCAAAGTTTTCTCGTGGAAACGAAAAGATCTTTCCCGTTTGGCTATAGCAAAAAGAAAAGCAACTATCGATGAAAGTGTTTTACCGATCATTGCAGTGTAATTAAAACGTACGTGAAACCGAGGTCGAGGATAATTAGCAAATGAACATCGAATCAAAAGGATGGTCATTGCTGAAGTAAATTGGTCGCACTGCGAACAGCAAGTGGCTACTATAATTACAAGGTTCATTAATACGTATTTGATGCTGATTCCACTATTTACTGTATCGTGCGTGGTAATGGTAATTTTACCTTAAATGGGTTCGAAACAGTTCTTTTTCACCGTATGTGAACGTCAAGCTGACAACTATTACAACGTGTTTTTAATTCTCAAAATTTGCGATATATTTTTTATTTCATTTTTCACGTAGAATTATTTCTTTCGTTCGTTTCTATATTAAAACAACGTCACCGTAGGAGACAGTCAAATTAAACAGAATTAGATACGTAACGATGTTGTTGGTTACCTCAATTCGTAGGAAAACTAAAATGAAACTATGTAAAATTCAGTATACACATATGGCGATATGAATATGCAATGTATTAATATTTTTGGAACTTAATGTTTGCCAATTTTTAGAATTTCAGGGGAAACATAGGTTCGATAGTGTATACGCGTCGATGTGCTGCTATAACGACTCCGCAATAGCATTTACGAGCATTCTGAGCCGGATCTACATTTGACGAACAACGCGGACAAGCATGAACGAACATGAACGAACAAACGTGGGCAGTATCGCGAGCATGAACGAGTGTGAACGAGCATTAACTCAGAATTCGATTTCTCGCTTGTAAATACGCTGAAGGAAAATATTCATGTGTGAAATAATATTCGTTAAAACGATCGAATATTGGCTGGTGCTTATTCACTCGTAAAGTTTCCATTTGTAACACGTTGACTGCTGATGATGCCATGCTGGTGTCATTGGTCGATTGCTTTCGACGATGAACGAGTAACGCCACGTACAAATTGTTTTCGAATGGTGTCGAGAAAATGAACGAGTTCTAAGAAAAATTTCAGTCGTAACGAAAGGCTGCGTGACTTCGGCCCAACATTCTTATTTACGTTTACGTTAATTACCGATCTGACAATTAAATTAGTTGGGTGGACGATGATCTCGTGTGAAGCGCTTCTGATAATTGAGCGAAGTTGGAGTTGACGGAATTGATAATGTCGAGACATTTTTTGACGGTACTAATAATAATAAATACAACTTTTGCAAAATATAAAACAATAACAGTATATATAAGGCAATTATATATGTATCATTTAGACTCTATAATTATACGTAAGCAGAATTCCTCTCTGTAAAAGGGAACGATAAAAAATTTATTCATATAGAATTCACATAAAAGAAATCATGGTTTCGAATATTGTTATTGCGTTTCGCTTTTCACTTTTTCGTCATGTTATGCACCAAATCCTTGAATGCCTTTATGCCTGCGTTGTTGTACTCCTCGTATTTTGGAGCTTCCGACTTGATCTTTGCATACCATTTGGTCACATTTTTATATTTGCTGAGATTGTAGTCCGTGGCCTGTTGTTAAAATGATGTAACGAATAAATGTGACTTTATATAAAAGAGTTCTCTAAAACTCTTTTTTATGACTTTTTTCTAAGTCTCTTGATAGTGGCGTTACTGTCATATTATTATCGATGTAACATAACATATATTTTGATAAGATAATATTTTCAAGGAAATTACCTCTATCGTGGACACGGTGGCCACAATGGACAGGTCAGCAAGAGTCATGTTCTCTCCTGCCACGTAGTCTTGTCCTTCGAGGAATGTATTAAGGAAAGACATGGCTGTGCCAACAGCTTCGTATTTCGCTTGATCTTTAGGGGCTTTGGCGAAGATTATAGGATACTAATGAAAAATGTTAAGGTCGCTAATTAATTATTCGCTTCATACACGTTCTAAAATAAAAGATTAAATAGTGGTTTTAAACGATTCGACGAGAAAATCATGTATATATCACCTAAATTGTCTACTTTTATAAGAATAAAAGAAATTATTTACGAATACCACGCATAATGAAATATGTAAGAATCTATTAAGTTAGTTTTTTATTTAAAAAAATCTAGCAACGTCATGTAACATAGAAATTCCTTTCAATGCGCCATAAAAAGTCACTAAATGGCTTTAAACTTACGTAATAGTCTGCGAAAGATTTATACAGAGTGCAGGCGTCGAAATACAACCTTTGGTCAACGATCGCGCGTTTCTTCGGATCCTTTGGATATAAGGAGTCATTCTTACCATATTGATTTACCAGGTATGTCATAATAGCCCGACTGAAAGAAAAAGAATGTACAAAACGTCTATACGTTTTTATTCCTGATCTTCTTAATTATTATCATCGTTCGTTCGTATTAGAGTACTGGAATACTCCATACGTGAAAACTGTAACACAGACTTGTAAGACAGAAAGTGCAAATCTACCGAAAGGAAAGACACAATCGCAACAGAATTACAAAATAGCGTTAGAGCTTATTAGTTAGAGATAATAGGATTCTATTTCTTGGAACGAAATGTTAGTTAATGATCAATTTATTAAATTCCTGCTAGTCTGTTATCCGAATAATTTTCGCCTGATCGTACGTACTGTAATCGTATGGGTATTTAGGTGCAGGTATATTTATATAATAGCATACAAACGATAGATCATCGTATTGAGAAAAAAGAACGAGATTCTTTGAAATTAAAGAAGTATTCATAATATAATATATCAATCAATTTCACCTTTCCCACAAGTAGAAACCATTATCATCGATTGTAGGTATCGTGTGCTGTGGGTTCATCTGTACATAAGGAGACATCAAATATATTACCAAAAATATTACAAGTAAATATAAATGTAATAAAATATTCGAGTATTTGATACAAGATATTAATTTCTTGCTTTAATAGAATTCGATACAAGTGTAATAGAGTTATGTTTAGCTTATATCAATTACACGTACCTTCAAATATTCTGGTTTTAAGTTATCTCCGTTCATTAAAGCAACTTCCTTAAAATTCATTTCGATACCAAGCGCGGCAGCTGCCAATGCAACGGCACGGCACGGAGCGCTTCCAGGAAGTTGATAAAAATCAATTGGCATTTTAATTTCTGTAACGGTATGTAATGCGTCATTTAAGAAACTCGCTGACTTCGATTCGAACTGACGTATAGAATTAAACATAGAAATAAAATTTAGACTGATTATTACTTAAACAATTATAAAATCATATTATAATATTAAAACTAGAAATAAATTTATTTACTTATTGCGAAATGATTATGCGTTAATTTAAATAAGGAAATATGTGATCGTTTCGACTATTCAACAGACGTGCGACAGAAGAAAAATTTTAACGATACGATTTATAGATACAGTGAATATAGATATAATATACAGTGAACGCGAATCATACGAAAAAACGTTTCAGAAAAATATTGCTCGATATCGTGGAGGATATAGTACACTCTCGTGTACTTGACCTTACGATAACCTTGACATCTCTCTATGGATAACGCTAATCCCGGCGACACATCGGATTTTAAAGTTCGTATCTCGATAACGGATGGCGCGAACGATACGGGTTTATGGTATTTTGAAAACGTTTGCTACAAACGTCAGCTACAAGAATACGTAATAAAATTGTAATGCCACTCTCAAGGTTACCGCAAGATTAAATACACAAGAGTATAGTATGTCCTCCTCAACGCTGTGCAATTTTTTTTTGAAATATCTTTTTGTATCCTCGTGTTTTTTTCGAGATATTTCAGCGGTTCGAGATAAATTGGACATGCTGTATATCGTACATGGATGGAAAGTTACGTGTATACGTGTATCCACGTATTTGTGCACATAACAATGGCATGACTCAGTATTGAGATCGTAACGATTAAGAGGGGAAAAGAGTACAGTGCGGAGATAGAAGGAAGTACCCCGAAGGAATGCCGATTAGTTGTTTTTCAATACAATCTCAAAGTTAAACACCGTATTGGGCGAAAATGGTGGAGGCCACTGAGATTAATAATTCCTTTGCCTCTGTACCGTCCCACGAAGTTTCTTTCTATCTCAGTGTTACGCATGATAGTTATTTAGGTCAGCGGAAATACTAAATAACTTTCCATCATGCAATAGCCGGTTCATCGCGTCTTCAATGAACTCCTTACTGCTATACACTAGTTAATATAAAAAAGCCTAGTAACTATATCACTTTATATTTATTCGATACAGTCGTAAAGTAATTTTTATATCGATGTTTATTCAAATGTGCCAGTATTTTCCAAAGAATCTATATCTTTATATAAGTACAAAGTTACGTTTGCTATATATATAATATATATAAATTAGCGTACAGAAATATATTAATATAGCGTGAAAAATGTAACGTAATACATTGGTTTAACTTATTAATACGTTACGTTTAAAAACATTGGATCTATCAACTTAAAAACAGCCAAGCATATATGGCATGCCTGTTGCGCCAAACAAGTTGCGTTATGGATCAACTTTTTATCGCTACAAGATTAAATATTTTCTCTGTATTATTCGTTCACAGTTTTAAAGGATTACAGGCACACTTGAAGTAAACACTCCTTGTCTGGTTATCTCCACCATGCACCAAATCGATAATCGTGTTGCAAAATGACATATCGAACTTCACTCTCAAGCAATAGCTATACAACGATGGGATTCTACCTTATTCGGCAAAAACACAATCGATAATTAAGATCAACGTTAAATCAAAAACTGAAAGCACTATCCATGAAACTTCGTACCGGTTATAGTCGGATCTTCGGACGACGAAAACAAGGATGATATGTGGCAGATAAACGAAGACGAGTAAAGTAAATTCAAATACGAGTTTTCCAATGGTATACTACCAGATAATTGCGAGCTATGTAAAGGAGTTAGCTCTCCAGTCTCTTTATAAATGCCAGCGTATCTACCATATGTCCCCCTTTTCAAGTAGCGAATAGGAGAGCGCTGCGCAGGCTCAACCGGTTTCGACTTGTTACGAGTATGGAGGTATCACCTCCTTTGCTTTTCCTCTTCGATATTTGTCGCACTTTCAGATCGTTGGATTTCGTTAGAATTTGGTATGTACCGGACAGACCGAAATAAACGATACACTGTTAGAAGCTGTTCGAAGTATTTAAGAAAATTTATTTAGAAAGCGTTTGAAGAAGTTGGGCGATTATAAAATAGATAAAAATATTCTTATCTCATCGTGAGAAAATAATAATAGTCCTGAAACTAGCATATTGAATAGAATGTGTTGCCAAGAATTAATTATCAAGAATTACATTATCAAGAAAAATATGTAACTTTTATCCGTAAACTTTTACGATTAATGTGATATTGATTTATTATTAAAAGTTTTTTGATATTGCATGAATTGTTACATTTGCTTACAGAATACATTTTCGTTTTCATTTCAAGGATAAACAGGGATATAAAATGTAATGTCATTTTACTTGGCGATGTAATTATTGTTTCATTTGCTCTTATTCATACACCGGATGACTTTGCAATAATCTAGTATTTCTCTGCCTAATGCAACGATGCAATCCTATGTAACGTAAAGGATTGTTTTACGAATCAAATCCTTCTTCCGTAATAAACTTAGCTTTTTAAAATTCTATCACGCTGTTCGGCTTTATTTTGCGAAACATAATGAGAAATATTCCTCAGGAGTATTTCAAAAGTATTTCAAATAAAGTTGGTCGCTCGAGGTGAAAGTACTTCTGTTCAGCCTTGAACGCAAACTCGAAGGTTTCAAAAATAAAGAAATAACTAAACCTAAAGTAAAGCGATTATATTAGGTTGTCCCAAAAATGTCTTTCGCTATCTGCAAATCTGCTTTATCTGGCTGCTTTATCTGGCTACGTCGACACAAACGTGAAATCTAATCTATCAAATGTCGTCGATCGTCTTCTGGCTATCGTAGGGCACGTTTCGTTTTCATTAAAACAAAAAATGTTGTGCATCTATTATTTTCTTCTAAAACGAAAGCAACTTTTAGGACAACCTAATAGATGTTCAGAGAAAAAGACAAATTTTTAATACATAACATTTTCAAGTATTTGAATTCGATACTACAAAATATACGTAAATATAGAGATATAAATAGAAATATATTATATAAATACAACATAATATATCGTTAATGAATTTCATTTTACAAGCCTTTACAACGAGGAATCTAAAATCCTGCATTATTATGTCGTAACATTCTATACAGAAAAATACTTTGCTCTATAATATTCTCAAACGTTAGAAGTGTTTTTCTAACGATAAAGTTGATACATATAGGTGTTACGTAGGTACATGTTATCAGGTTTTGCAGAGCAATTATTACGATTAAATATAGATTAGCTAGCTCATGTCATGTCATTGACAACGATATTTAATGTAACAAACAAGAATATAATCGTAAACTTGCAAATGGTTTGTTTAAAAATAGACAGGAAATTACAGTCGTGTTACATAAAATTAACGCCATGTACATTTTGTCGTTGCTGACAATGAATTCGCTCTAACGAATCCTCTAATATATTTTATATACGATATTTAATATTTAAGTGTCATTAAATATCTTGCGCGTATAAATAAATATTTCATTCGTTTCAGTACGTAATGGGTTCCGTGAAGCTCGCAGACGATTGGAGCACATTCTCAATGCGACAAATTGATTGCTTCGTTTTTGAGAAAATAGTTCGATACACAATACAATGGCAGAGCGTGGTCACGGGCTAGGAGAATCGATCACGAGCTTGTAAACTGGTTGACCCACTTTTCCTTCGTTACCTACCTGATTCTCGCGATGCATGCATCGTGGAAATACCGAGATCCAAGAAGACCGCAAATCCTTCGATTTAACGTCGCCGCGCACGTCCACGCCACCGGAAATGTAGCTCTAATCATTTGTGGTTACGGCCATACCGGGAATGCGGAACGCTCTTTTGGAAGACGCGGATTAATTACGAATAGCGCGGCAGAATTGAATTCATCCACGTAGATCGAGCCGTACGGAAAATTTCCTCCGAAAGATTCGTAAGCTTCGCGTGCAATTTCAAGCCTGTTTCAAACAATATCACCGCGATAAATTGAATATGCTGTATTCGATATCGAACGATCGACCGAAATTGACCGATTGAATTATCAAATTTTTAGTTAACAATTCGCATATAAACGGCCGACTGTACAACGTTGTTAGTGATTTTTGACGTTGAAACAATATTGAAAGCAATTAAAAAACGCGGATACTTTCAGATATTTAGAAGTAAAAATTATTTATCGCGATCGTTGACTTTGCTTTATTTATACAGCAAAAGTGATTTTACTATCTAGAATTTCCGCAAGTTAATTTGCTTGTATAAATATATTTGATCAAACGCTTTCCTGTTTCATACGAGATGCATAAAAATGTTTCAATTTGCTTCTGAATATTCCGTGTTGTTGAAAATATTTAATAGAAATTTGTAATTACGACGTTCAATTGTATCGTAGCGTTACTGCTTTTCCATTGTAGTACGGTCCTCGGTTAATAGGTTTCCAGAATGAAATCTGTTCCGCTTTTGAAAAAATGAGTGATGCCGGTATATGGTATTTGACATTGAAATTATTTAGTAGTTTTGGTATTTTTTTTTCATCGAACCAGTAAAAACTACCACGAATTTAAGTATATTACACTATCTGGTTTAATTATTGGGAGGATGAATCGACTATTATCTGACGATTCACGGTATTACAACATCGAACATCCTTTTAGAATTGAAAATTAATTTTATTTTAGGTATTGTCATTTAATAAACTATGCTATTTAATAAACGAAAGTTTTCTTTGTCAATTAACGTTAATTCTTTCACAGTTATTATTTCATTATTCGCTTGTTACGTAACAGTATGATTAAATTAAATACGAAGGCAGGCTTTAACGTTGTCAAGGAAATAATGAAAATTCGATTTTTCACTTAATAGAGTGAAATTAAGTTGAGCAACTATGCATTTGTAATTTCTTAAATATTTGCTTCCCTTTCGAAAGCAAGAATGAATCGTTATTAAAATACTTTGCAAACTTTTCCTATATAACGCGACTATGTTAGGTGCGGCAATATTTTCGCATTAAATAACACCGTATGAACGAAATATCGAGCAAATTGTTATTCGTCGTAAATAAAACGAATCGAAAAGAATAAAATTTTGCAGAATAAAGCTTCCTTTCGAAGAAAATTGTGTATATTTATACGTTATATACACGGGGCAACATTCGATTATTTTTCTATAATTTTTAATTCGCCGTGCAGTATCCAAACCATCGACGAAAAGCATACGAAAAAGAAATGTCCTCCCGTTGCGAGAAACTTTGCCAATCGATCTATCGATCGAATTAAAAATCTGAAATAACAATAACGGCGGATCAAAAAGCGCGGAGAAAGCCGTATCTGAAGAGAGCAGAACTGCGTTGGGAGGCGGTTCATTTTCTGTGCGGCGCGCGGCGCGAGTTTCTTCCGAGGCGTTCTCAATTTCGCCGGTAAAAACATTATCTTCCCTTCAATGATTCCTCGAGGGCGATCCGCGCGGCCGCATTCGCGAAATGGACCGTGAGTTAATTAAATTCAGGAACAGGAGAATGCCGTGGACCGTCGAACAGGAATTCCGGGAACGGAAGCGCAACGGGTTTTTCAGCCGGCATACTCGGTCCGGGATTCCGCAGTTTCTGCCGCATCATGGTTGTATCGTCCAGCGAAATTATTGTCCGTGTTGCGTAATTCTTGGCACGTAGTCTCACGCACGACCGGCGAACGCATGCCTCTGTGAAAAACATCGCGTACGGAAGTCGAACGAGGACGAAACAATCAGTGGATGGGGGAAAAAAGAGAGATGAAAAAATAGACGACGATAGAACCTCTCTTTGATTTTCAAGGGATTCGGATAATTTGGTTTTTATTTTTTCCGATTGATTTATCCACGTTCCCTCTGTTCGCTTAATTCAGCAAAAATTAGTACGTTATGTCACGGAAATTCTGGAAAATATTTGAGCATATTATCCATCGGTCAATATTTCCCGAAAAGAAAGAAGAGGAAAGAAGTGCATTCTCACTGTTAGCGTTACTTCTAAGAGGTGGTGACTAAACCATCGATCAACAAAACATTCGCGAGCTTCAAGGTTGATGTATGTAAATATTGGATAAAAAACACAAAGTCATTGCGATTATTCGACGTTATTCAACAGTAAATGGAAATAGGCTTGTTGTACGGGTGATTTTCTCTTATCGTATCACTGCTCTTATCTTATACGTTTAATTATCGTATACGTTTAATTTGTTGTTTATATATTTGATATATGTATTTGTGCGAGTGATTTCAAAGGAAAAGAATTTCTAAGTTTCTCTAAAATGAATATTCGGCTTATTCGGTAAACTTTACTCGCGAATTCAGTTCGGTTGCAATCAGTAGCGTAGATGTACGTTTCATAGGACGAGTGATCCTTCACTACGAGTCGATTAAATTTCGCGTCGAGTGTCTACCTAATCGAACCGTGTGTTTCACCGAAAACAATATTTGGACGTGATCGATAAACGGATTCTACTACGAAACGAAAGCCGTTGAAATGAACCGAAACTCTCTAGCTGCCGTACTGGAAACTTCAGTCGGTTGATTTGCGACAAATAATCGGAATAGATATAAAGGTATTGGGAGAAGTACCAGAACACGCAAGGCAAATTTAACTATGTACTTTTCAACAGCTCATCGCCATAATTACAAACTATCTAACCGAGTCAGTTGTCGCGAGGAGTGTCTTTATAAACGACGCGCGAATATCGTCTTGTCATCGAAAGATCGATACCACAAACGTCAGTAGATATGTTTATCTAATCGCAGAAGACGAGTCTCGATTCCACGTGGATTTCAGGATTGTCGAAGACGAATCGTAGTTCCAACTCCACGTGCTAATCATAGAATTTGATAGAGCA